ACCCACATGTGAGGATCCTAAGCCCGAAATCACACAACCACCAGGCTCCGGTAACGCAGTCACAGACAGAACCACATGTGACACAGTCACGGACATACCCACATGTTACACAGTCACGCACATACCCACACGTGATGATCCTAAGCCCGACATCACACACCAGTTAGTCACAGACGACACAGTCACAGACACACCCCCACATGAACCTCCAAAGCCCGCAATCATACATCCACACACCAACGCCCCAGTCACAGACACACACACATGTGATCATCCTCAGCCCGAAATCACAGACATAACCACATCCCACACTACCACGTGGCTGCGTTGGATTGACCGCAACAAGCACCTATTCCAGGCGTGCACGGGGCAAACATGGTTCAATGAAATCAAATCGGAATGGAAACAATACCTCCGTGAGCACATGGTGGCAAACGCAAACAACGGAGTATCCGGGCACCGTGAATTAGGTGAGGCACCCACCCCGCCGATGAAGAAATTGGACTTGTGGAAAGAATGGATTGCAAGACAGCATAAACGGACGGATACATACAGTGAAGAGGAGTGGTTTCAGCATTTGTTGAATAATGTACAGCAGGAGACAGCAACGCCCACAGGCGAAGTATCAGTAGTCGACAACGACTTAGAAGTGGACAAAGTCACGGCAGCAGCAGACATGCTACGAGTGACAGCTATACCATGCACCCAACCACTGCATCAGCCCCCTCACATGAAACAACCGTTAACTGCCACATTGTGGATGCTCCTTCTCGCGTCCGTAATCGAAGAGAGCGAGCTCGAACGCAGTTTGCAGGATAGGGAGTTATATGTGGATGACCTATTGGAGCAACTGTGACATTCGGATGACGGGGCATATGAATGGAAAATAACGCATGCTAACGGCCGACCACTTGTACTTCATTATGTGATATACATACTGTATTTCCGGTTTGCACTATTCCATACCGTCTTTTTTTTTTTTCTGCTCTGTTCTGCTTACTTCTGTTTCTTTGTGCTTACTTTTGCCTTGTTTCTTGTTATGTGTAGTCCACTTCTTTTAACATGACCATAGGAACAGGTGGGTACCGGTTAAATGCATATAAAATGTAGATTTACATGAATACTATGAAGGGGTAGTATTCTCCTTTATGTGAAGTTAATTATTAACAGATGAGCACGTGCATTCTACGGGTATAGTGCAGAACAAATATAGCATGCGACCACGCATTCGAGTATAAGGAGCGCTTGTCTCCGCGCACACGTTGCCGCGTACACCGCATTGTAGCCGAGTGTAACCACGATTCGACGAAGGATTGTCCGAGTGTAAGAACGGAGGGAGACATTGTCTCTGCGAGCAAACGCGTCGAGCAAACGCGGCCACGTGCAACACCGATTCGACGAAGTAGCCAAGTGTAAGAAAGGAGGGAGAGATTGTCTCTCCGAGCAAACGTGGCCGGGTAAACCAGATTGCATCCGATTGTAACAACGATTCGACGAAGTAGCCGAGTGTAAGACGGAGGAGAGATTGTCTCTGCCACCGACTGTCGCCGGATACACGGATTGCCACCGAGTGAACGTATTTCACGACGTAACCGAGTGTAACAAGGAGGAGAGATTGTCTCTCCGAGCAGCGGCGTCGACCAACGCGGCCGCGTGTAAGAAGGTTTCGACGAAGTAGCCGAGTGCAAGCCGCATGCGACGGATTGTCCGAGTGTAAGAAAGGAGGAGGATTGTCTCTCCGAGCAAACGCGTCGAAACACGCGGCCCACTAAGCAACGCTCTTGCGAGCAAACGTGGCCCAGTAAGGGGTATTCGACGAAGTAGCCGAGTGTAAGAAAGGAGGGAGACATTGTCTCTCCGAGCAAACGCGTCGACCAAAGCGGCCGCGTAAAGGCGATTGTCCGAGTGTAAGAAGGATTCGACCAAGTAGCCGAGTAAGAATCCAGAGCGGGAGCAGAGAGCGCGGACCGGGGAGGACGGAACACACGTATTATGTGGTAGGGCGCACAACGACGGCAACGACGGTAGCGACGGCAACAACGACCACAGAAGACATTCATGTTGTTGTTCGTTTTAGGTGTACGCGCACAGAGAGACACAGTGTGTGTGACAGGCGTTTAGTGGACACCGGTGTAGAAATGGGGGCGGGGGTGTTCATGACGCGTGGTGTTGTACCTTTGCTATTTGTTCCTTTCTTTTTCCCTTGTCTTTCTTTTTTATTTGTATTTTCTTCCCTGTATGTTGTGTCAGCAACTCATATGGACACTTTCTGTTTTGGTACATTCTGCCTTCTATCATTAGGTGCTTCATTTTTCTCTTTTTATGGAACATTTTAATGTTAAGCGCGGCGTAGTGAACACCGACAGAAGGAGCATTATCGACTAAAACTGCACGCAAGCGCGCATTGATGCAATATAACAACCATACGAATACTACTAATGCATGAGTACTTCCCAGGGTACCGTATATTTCAGTGAATAGTAGTAACATGGGAACGGTAGATTTGGCGCACGCATTGGCGAAATGGGTAATCCAAGCGGGAGATCTCGATCAGGATACATATGAGGTAGGGACATACAGGAATAGAAGAGCAAAACGGGGCGTTCACTGCCCTGGTGTTATTGGTACACGAGAGAATGCAGCGCATCGTCGCACATAGAATTAAAGTACACATGCGCATGTATATATTTCCTGTGTTTCTCTTACATTGTAGGACATGGTATGGGCAAAGACCACAGAGGTAATGAAGGAATTTGTGGAATACATGCACGAGGATAATATAATATTGTATGCATCGAATTGTGATAACACAGGATGGGAGCACTACGCGTATGAGCGCGGTGAACAATTAGTAACACAGAAAGTCGGAGATAGAATTGTATGCGTACTTATGGCAGGGGCCTTATTTTTCATGAATTGGGGGAGTCATGCACACCCGGTTAGCGAACAGGAGGATGATACCAGTGCAAAAATAACGGAGCACTTACGATGTATAATAGCACATATGTTCAGCGAAGTATTAAACGAATCTGTGTGCAGGAGTAGGTGGGGAATATTTTATGCATGGTACTCGATGCAACAATTAGGAGCGGAAGACGGTTTTAAGGGGGGCTTAATACAGCAGCGGAAATGTGGTAAAGACATATTTCCGAATGGGAACATAGGGAAGATTGAGTTAAATGCAAAAGTGAAGAAATGGTTAGCGGAAGACAGCAGACTGAAGAGACGGCTTCAAAAAGTGAAGGCAACTAACACATGTCGGACACCATGGCAGCAGGGATGGAAAATAGCGGAATTCTTGGATAAAGAGCATACGAAGCATAAGGACGACTTAGGAATTACTCAGATAGTCCATGAATTGAAGGAAGGCATGAAGGACATATTTAAGGAAATCGCGACACAGGTGGAGCAAGGCATACAAAAAAGGGAAGAAGCGAACACGGGGAAGTCAGGTAAGGCATGGCAGGTTGGGCCAGAATGAGACACATTAGAACACAGCAGCAAACATAGGTACAGAAACGAGCACGACAGACAGTGTCGATGTACAAGGGAAAGAGCAATGCGAAACAACATGCAGATATGTGAACAACGTTCATTCCTGTGTACTTCCAAGAACACAAAACGTACATACTAACCCTTGTAATTCCTATTTGTTCCTTTATTGCAGCGAACGATGGCAAAAACGGGCAGACCGCCATCACGGCGGCGACCACACCACCGGCACCGACAGGTAAGATAGATGAGAGTAAGCACGAATACGGCACGCACGAATGCGGCCGCCACAACAACACGCACACGCGGCGAGAACAGCACCACACTTCGCTGCCATCAGCGGGGTTGACCACGACGACAACGGTAGCGGCGACGAGGGAAACAGCGCGACGGCGTACGCGATGAGTGGCCACGGCAGCGGTAGCGGAGAGGAGATGACGGCAACAACAAATAAGTGTATTGCTACCATCTAGCCCCAGTCCACCGCGTACGCAGTCCACCGATTGCACCTCGATCCATGCATCGACCCACTGCATCGACCCACTGCATCGACCCACTGCATCGATCCATGCATCGACCCATGCAGCCGACCTACCCGGTCGCTACATGACCGCACCGTTCTGCCCCTTCTTTCTGTACCACTTGTGTCCTTTTTTAATCATATATTTGATCATTCCCCTGTCTTCATTTTGCAGGTGGGGAAAAGGAGAAGAAGAATGAAGACAGCAGTAACAGGGAGGTAGTCACGAAGAAATCAGAAGTACCACCAGCTACGGTACCAGAGGTACCAAAAAAGGATGTTCCTGAGAAGAAACCTTCGGAGGGAGGTGCTGGGTCAGATGACAGGTCCAGGTCCGAGGACCCACCAGCAGGACCCGTACCACAAGCCCCACCTCCGCCACAACCTGATGTGGAGGACAAGGGTAAATCATCGTCATCAGCATCCCCCTCCTCACCGGATGAAACAGCGACCCCTGCAGGTAAGAACACAACTGTACCCTGCACCCCTGTCCAACAGACAGTCGGTCATGCAAGCCCAGGCGGTGGACGTGTTCAAATTCAGGTCCTCAGTACTCCTTCATCTACCGCATGCTCAGGTACGGCACGTACAGATTCACGTGATAGCACTGTGCACGCAGCGGTCCCTGTCCCGACGGACCCCTGTGACTGAGTCTTCTGGGAGAAGGAAAACAGGACACAACATGCAACACACAAAAAAAAAGACAGAAAAGGAAACAACTTTTCCGGCGACAGCGGGAGAGACACCACGGAGAGAGAGAAACCAAACGCCGAATGAGAATTAGGGGCAGAGCGACGCGGGGAAGAGTAAGCCGCCGCGGGATGTAGAGTGTCGTAGAGACGCAGACAGACGTCGACAGGTAGAGACATCGACACACACTGTGTGTGTGTGTTGTGTGCTGCGTGGGAGAGAGAGAGTCTTTTCCCGTGGTGGCACCTGCCACGCCGTCCCAATACACGGGTCAACCTTAAACGACGCACCGTGTGGCCGACAGACCATGCACAAAGATGACCATTGTCGTAGCCATGCAACGTACACACTTCAGAGTCCTCATATTTCCACTTGTTCCCGTTGGGAGCCCTTGCAGGAACTCCAGGAGCAGGCACTGAACCGACACAGAATTTAGAGATACCTGAAGGCCAGGCCTCTAATGGCCAGGATGATTCTTCCAAAACGAACACCACCGGTGTTGATAATACCCATACTGACACAACAAAAGTTGTAGATCCGGCACCAGTAACTACTGGTAACGGTTCCTCAGCCTCCGGTGGCAGTAAGCCTGATCCACCGCTGGCCGACAATACTGCTAAGGATGATAAAGCCCATGATGGGCATACTGCCGCATCCTCTCCCACGACACAACCATCTCAAGAGTCCCAGCCCCCCAAGGCACCAGTTACCTCCACTGATCCTGATCAACATGGTCACACACATGACACAGGTTCCTCTGGTGCAGCTGGTCCTACGGGTCCAGGTTCTACTGGTACTGGCTCCACGGGCACTACGAATCCACGTTCCTCCGGTACTGGTTCTACTGGTCACCAACCCCCTAGTCCTGTTCCTTCCCCCGGACGCAACAATGTACAAAGCACTGGTTCCAATGGAACAAATGCGAACAAGGACCCTGGTTTAGATTTAGACTTTAAACCACATGCAGATGGTATCGGGGGAGCATATGGACCAAACGCTGCGCCCATTGATCCACATAGGACAGTTATAAGTGAACATCCACCTAAGGGTCCCGGAGGTCCCGATGGCCCCGACCTAACCGCGGACGTCCTTACCGCCACTACTCCGATCCTGTTGTTCGTCGCTTCCGTCATCGTGGCCGTTCTTGGTTATTCCCTTTGGAAGGTAAG